TATACACAAATAATTTGACCATTTACCTCTAAACGAGACACATTAACAAAGAATAATGAAGAACAAGAAAAAGCTACAAGGTTTAGCTATACCCAGTTCATCCAGCCTTCACAGTCTGTTATTTTCTTTTGACCCCATCTTCCTTTATTCTTATCTCTTCTCTCATCCTTCTTTTCAACACATCATCCCATTTCTTTTTTTTTTAGTTCTTTTTTTAATTTTTTGCTCGTTCCCTCTGGGAGTCCTGAGTCTGCTGAGTCTCTTTCTACTAAGCCTTCATACCTTCCTCCTCAGTGGAACCCATCCTAACTTCCTTAGACTTAGATTTAGACAGATTTATTTTGTCATTTTGTTTAAAAAAGCTCTAGACAATTTCATTTTTTTTTAAAGTGCAGCCTTGAAAACAGTAATAAATATAGTAATAAAAAGATATGACTGTATATTTACAGTTCTAACATACATTTTTTTTTTTGGTTTCAACATCCCTTCAACTCCTTCCTTCAATGGAATTTTGACTTCATATTCTTTAGGCATGATCTGTGATAGTGAAGCCTACAATGATTGGCCATCCAGCTAAATCTATAGGCAAAGCAATTAGAAATAATTGGACATGTAAACCAGAGGCTCATGATGAGTCTGGAGAAGTCCTCAGCTCAAGGAGAATTTGAAAATACAACACAACTTGTTTGTTCCCAATATCTAGGTTAGGATGAGAACATTAACAAGAAGAACTTACTGTAACAAAAAGGTGTATTTTTTTTTTGCAAGATACTGAATACTGAATTCAACCTAAATGATCCATTATTTGTCCTGATAAAAATTTGACAACTCACAAAGTGTACCCAAAAAAACTGTACTACCTGCAATAAAACCAGACTGTAGGATATGAGAGAACTGACCCTTTAAGACAGCATGTTGAATTATTTTTAATTCCTTTTGTAAAACACATTTTGGGTCTCATTAAAAAAAAAAGGGGGGAAAAATGGGCAACACAGAGAGCATCACACCTTGTAGAACTTGTGAAAACAAAACTTTTGTGCCGTCATCAGGAACCAACAGTTTGGTTTTCTGGAGTGGAGCTCTATCAGGAAAACTGGCAGCTCAGGTTTTTTACATTTTCATCCTTTGTTACATCGTTTGACAATTCACAGTATTACACTGAATTCAATGGCAGAACTAAAAATTACCCAAAAGTCTCACTACGCTTGACTGAAATGTCCACTATGAAAAGCAGAATTGTGCTTTTATAGCAATGTCAATTTTTCTGTGTCCTGGTTGGTTGAGGCCTCCAGCAGACCGGTGGGCGACATAAATCACTGCTTCCATCCATTGTCCAAGTTCTTTAGCAAAATGGCTCACAAACTCATTTATAGATATCTGTTGTCTCTGCGACAAAGTTCACATACATTTATAAAATATAAACTTGTCTCAATCTCTTGCTGCTTCACAAAAAAGAAACACTTGATTGTTTTTTTTTATTATTTATCTGAAGAGGACCAGACCCAAAGGTCTCACATTTAAAGCTCAATGAATGAATGTGTGTGAAGAGTTCCCTTCCAAAGTGAGGTATTAGAAAATTTACGAGCAGCGTTGGCTACTCAAACATTTTGAATTCAAAAACAAAATAGGCTACAATTCTTCACATTTAACCTAACTGGAACTAGTAGGTTTTTCCCTAAAATAAAAAACACAAGATAACTGAGCATCAATTAAAAATAAAATAGAGAAAGCAAATCATTATGCATTTAAACTCAAACAAATGTTTAACACTAAAACCCCAAAATATCCAAACAAATAATGAAAAATAAAAAAAAGGACTCAGCAGTGAGTAGTACCGATCATTGCACTGATTGATTTCTCTAATTTTGCATGCCTAGTAGGCTTCCTATAGGCAGAGGAGAAAATCAACCCTCCATGTATATCCTTACAAAGGGCTACCATAATGGTGGAACTGATTTTTGTAAATCCCCAAATGGTTTTAATCGGATTAAGATCAGGGGAACAAGCAGGATTGTCCAAGACAGGCATTAATTCTCCTGGAGAAAGTACTTTGTTAGATCCCAGCAATGGCACTGCAGCTATCTGTGAATTAAAATAGAATATCAATAAAGATTTGCAAAGCCAGCTGTTTGGCCAAAAAGTGGGTTGAGAAACTTCCGTCTTCTGTTGGATCCTCTTGCTCAGCACACTTATCACTTTTGTCTGTATGTCCTTACTTTCTACAAAGAAATGTAAATGTCTTCCTCTTCCAGCCTCAGCAATGAAGGCGTTATCCAAGAGTTCCTACCTGTTCAACTGAGAAATCCTGGGACTGTTCTTACCTCTGCTGTCAGGGAATCATGATCATATATGAATGTCTGGCAGAAAATGATGTGCAGCAAGATAGAATTTTTTTTACAGCTGTAGTTTTAAACATTTTAAACACAACCTGCTTGAGTTTAAATACAGTCTTAAGGGATTTTCCTTCTCTGTTTATTTTGTCT